TTACTGTTTTTAAAGACAAATGTTTCAACTATGGTAAAGTCTTCTGGCAGAATTAGTTGTAAACATAGACTTTTAAGATCTGATTGTTGTTTAAAGCAGACAAATTGAACTTTTTTTTTTTTTTTTTGGCAGAACCAGGGATAGAACTCAGACCCCTGTGCTTGCCAGGGAAGCACTTATTCTACTGAGCCATCTCCTCGGGCCCTGACAAACTGAACATTAAAGGTAAGATAGAAATACATACTTGGTTGCTATCATTTGTTCATTAAATATTCTATAAATACCATTCATAAAATTTTCTTTTGCACCTATTTACATTTACTTATGTAGTGTAATGGAAACGATGAACGTGCGATGGCTTCTGGAGACAAATGTCAACTCTGAGTTTTCATGACGGGTAAAGGGTCATTACAGCATGATATAAATGTCATTTGGCTGTAACTTAATGTATGAAGCACGATCAAAGACTATGGTAAATATTTAAGTTTTAAAAAATTTATTATAGTAAGATACATCACCAGCCATCTCTCTCAAAGTCTCCTTTGCTTTGAATACACTTATTCCACTGTTCTTACCACTAATTCCACTGTTCTTTTTTTCTTTTTCTTTCCTTTTTCCTTTTTGAGATCACACCATCTCAGTTGCTGGCTCAGCATGCCCTGGGGGTGGGGCTGGATAATTCCCAGCCACTGCACTCTGCCTAAGCAGGTGCTTTAGTCCGCTGAGCCATCTGGCTGGCCCTTCTGGTCACTTCTGAGGCAGTTCTGGAAGTCGTCTATTGTGAATGCCTTTAGTTGTGCTGTTGTGGCTATCTCAGTGCCCTGAAGTGATTCCAAATATTCACCTTTCACAGTCATTTTGACTTTGGGGAAGAGCTAGAAGTCACATAGTACCAGATCCAGTGAATAAAGAGAATGAGGACACCCTTTAATGCTTTTATTTGACATCAATTCCCATAAATCAATGAAATCAATGAAAGGTGAAAAAAAGTATAATGATATTTAAGTTAAAAATGTATTACAGAAAGAGACACCTTGCCACTCATTTCCACTTCAAAATACTCATGTCATCATTTTTGGCCATGTGTCTTTTGAGTGTAGTAATTTCTGTTTTTTTTCATGCTCTGCATTTTTTGATCACCCCTTACATATTGAATGGACACTTTTATATTTTAAGTGGTCATCACAGGAAGTATAAAAGAAGGGAAACACATATTTGGGTTGGAAAAACCATTGGATAGGCCTTCGAATGGCATATATAGCAAGAGGTCCATAGGTCTAGGATCAAATTCCCAAGCCAGTTGTGGAAATGAACTGTTTCAGGAAATGACATGTCAATACGTTAATACATACCTTCATTATTGACAATTATAGAAGCAGCTCCAGTAGCAGCATCTTTAGTCTGATATGTAAATTCTACAAGAAAAAAGAAAATTACAATCATGTACAGGCAACCTGGCATGGATAATTTATTTTAACAATTTCAATGTGACACCAATCCTTGGAAAAAGTTTTTAACCTTTAACCATCTGGAATGAGTTAGAAAATAAGTAATTAGTGCTAATTTATACCTATCACCTATACAATGAGGAAAATAAGCATCATTATATTTAGTGGCACCTTTTCTCTATAACAGTAACAACCTATCAAATCACCCCAGTTCCAATTTCCCCAAATTATTCATAGTTGCATACATATGCATGTTCTAGGCCACTACATTTATTTTCTCTAGAGAAATAAATGACACATTTGAGATAAAAACAAAAGATTAAACACATAAAATGAACTTGTTTGATTTTCTTCATTCTCACAAGCCCTGCACTTGGTTGAGAATCATGGCCGGGCACATAAAGAGAATACTGACGAGACAGCCCTTAGCAGTAGCAAAGAGCTCTGGACAGGAGTCAGAAGACCTGCGTTCTAGTCCTGGCTCTACCTCTGACTAGCTCTGTGCTCTTGGAAAAATCATATAAGCCCTCTGGAGCTTCAGTTTTCTCTTCTGCGACAATGTTTTTAGCCTCAGTGATTTCTATGATTTTTTTTTTTTTTTAACATGCACATAGAACAATAAACACCTTTATTACATGAGTTAAACCAGGAGGGAAGGTTTATTTGCCTTTCTGGGCCTTGATTTTCCTCAGATAGAACTCCAGCTCTTTGCCCTCTAGCACATAGCCATCTGCTCGGCCACACTGGCCTGGTCTTGATGCAATACAGGCAAGAAGCTTGCCCTGCTGGAACTGCTCCTCCAGAAGACTGCTGATCTTGGCGTTCTTTTTCCTTTCATCATACTTCTTTTGAATTTTCTTTGATCGTTTTTTGTTTAAAATCTCCTCCTCCTCAGGAGTCAGCTTGGCCCCCTTTTTTCGGCCCAGGGGCAGTGCATAGTGGGATTCATACCACTGTCGGTACGGCATGCTGTCAATGAGCACAATGCAGTTCTTCACCAAGGTCTTGGTGCGGACCAGCTCCTTATTGGATGCATTGTAAACAACATCAATGATCCTTGTTTTTCGAGTACAACACTCAGAGCCCCAGGAGAAGTTTCCCACATCTAGCCGCAGGGCTCGGTACTTCTTGTTGCCTCCTCGAACTCGGACTGTGTGTATGCGGCGGGCGCCAATCTTAGTGTTGGCAGCAGGGTGCCCCAACTCATACTTCTGCTTCTTGTGATAGGGCTTTCTTTTGCCCCCGGTCTTGCAGCGCTTGTGCCAATTGTCCCGAGAGATGCCCATCGCTCGGCGCCGGCTGGAAAGAGCGATTTCTATGATTGTTTTCAGCTATAACATTGTGGTTTTTTTTTTTTTTTTTTTTCCTTGAAATACCTTTTGTGAAATGCAGCTCCTGTTTTTCCTGTTCATATAACCATGAGATGAAGGTTCTTTTATTCCCATGTGAAGGGGTACACAAGAAAGAATCCATGAGGAGAACTTAGGCAAGATCAGGTAAGGCTGTGCATAAAAGCTTTCTGGCCACCAGAGGAGGATCTAATAATTCTATTCTATGTTCAATTTTCTTATAACAAGATTGCAGAACGAAGTTATAAACACTAACTTTAGAAAAGATAAATTTTACCTGTAGAAATATCATTCTGTCTTAAGTTTTCTATGTAATCATTGCCAAAAGAATCTTTGCCAACCTGTACCAAAGAAATGATGAACATTAGATCTTTTACATTTAGTAAAATGCTACAATGTAGTTTTTAGAATATTTAGCATTTTAAAAGGGCATATCCGCACAGTACTTTATAAACATTAATTAATGCTCTTAATGTAAGATGATAGACTTGATTTCAGCCCAAAGAATTGTTACATACTGCATTAATGTTCCACTTATACCTACCAAAAATGAGAGACATTTAATGATGGTTACAAGTTCTATAGCTTTATTCTCACTTTGATCTGTTCATTTGACAACTGCACTGAGATGGTGCTGTCCATCATCAATCCTCAATATGTATGAAGGATCTCATTGTTCACACTATAAATGAAGACATTTTTATAACAACTTGCTTCATATTCTAGAATCTTCTTCCTTCTTGTGGCTCTGTGATTTAACCTAGGGTGTGAAACATACACACACACACACACACACACACACACACACCCACACACCCTCTGCATTCAAACTCTGTTCTATTTTTTTTTGAGGAACCAGGGATTGAACTCAGGCCTTAGGCTCTTGCGCTTGCCAGGCAAGCACTTATTCTACTGAGCCATCTCCTCAGTCCCCTGTTCTATTTTTTTAAAGTTTTGTATGTTGAACATACTAGGCAACTACTCTACCTCTGACTCACACCACCCAGCCCTGGAATCTTTTTGTCTTTTTCTCTGACTTTCTTACGAGGGACGAGCAGCAAGGAATTTCTAAAGCCTTAGTTAACTTGGGTAATTTGATATAGTAGGATTCTATTGATTTTGTATCCTGGCATTCATTCTGTAACAACACTTTGAATTGTCTTTTGCATAGTCATTCTTATCCTATTCATAAACAACATGATTAGGTTGATCAAGGGACCTGGGACTGATTAAAAAGCTACTCTGGTCACAGTGATAAGTTCATGAATAGATGCATGACCTCAATTGGTCCACTAAGAATCAATCCAGGAAATCTTATTGAGGCTTTTGGGGAAGATAAGCTGTTTTCACAATAAGATTTATAGGTGTAAGATAATGTAAGCTGGGAGTCACTGAGGAGCGTTACCTGGCTGGCCTGAATAAAAAGAGTGAATAATAAGACTACGAAATGATGACAGCTATTGAGATACAGATTCCTACTATCCTGATGGATACCTAAATGGCCTCAGCACAGCTCTGTCATTGGGTCTTTCAGCTACATGAGCCAATATATTCCTTTTTCCCCTCTAAATCAATCTTGAATTTGGTATTTACTCAAAAAGTCCTAACTAGCTTCAAGAGCCAGTTAGCTTGCTCTGACTCTCAACCATAATTCAAGTAGTTGTGCTTTTGTCTGGATAGAAAGACCAAGGTCCTGCTTTGTGGCCCACATTGGTCACTGGATCTCCCTCCATTCTGTCAGAATGACTGTGAATCCTAATCATCTCCTTCCTTAGCTTTTACAACAGGGACTCCTCTGCCACCCCCTATAGGCCATACCTCTGGGTCTAGGGCTCAACCCCAAAAGGCTACTATTGGCAAGGCCTTTGGCATCAACTGCTGGCATGGCCACATATACCTCCTTCTGCCCTGTTCTGGTCCAGTGCTATGACTACTGGGCATCTCTAGTATCTTCTACTATGCCTCTCTGATGTGAATGTTTTGTCTGACTGCCACTTTAGCTAGACACTGGTCTGACCTCTACTGTTGGGACTATAGAAGAATTTATAAACTAGTGGTTGAGACTCAGCTATGACTACTGAATGTGTGCTTTTACTACTTTAAATAAAACAAACCGCTGGGGAGATGGCTCAGTGGAATAAGCGCTTCCCTGGCAAGTGCAAGGGCCTGAGTTCAATCCCTGGTTCTGCAAAAAACCAAAAACCAAACAACAACAACAACAACACAACAAAAACAAAAACAAAAAAACCCCAAACCTTTATTTTTAAAAGTAGTTTTTAAGTTTTCAGTAAAAGCAAGTGGAAAGTACAGAGTTTCTGTATAACTTACTACCTTCCCTAACTTCTATTATCAACATCCTGCTCAGAGTGGTACATTTGTTATAATCTATGAACCTATACTGACACATGTAAACTATATACTTTACACCAGGGTTCATTCTTTCCCCTTTGACCCTGGAGGTTGTACCAGGGACCTTGAATATGCTATGTTCCATCTGTGAGTTACGGTACTCTCCAACACTGGGGTTCACATTCTGTATGTTTTAAGTGTATAATGTCACATGTCCACCATTATATTACCATAAAGGAGAGTTTCTCTGCCTTTAAAAAAAATTCCATACTCTGCCTATTCAATCCTGTCCTTCCCTCAGCCCCTGGCAACCACTGATCTCTTCACTGTTTTGAGTTTCATTTTTCCTAGAATGTCACATTGTTGGACTCACATAACATACAGCTTTTCCAAACTAGCTTCTTTCACTTACTAATATGCATCTAAGCTTCCTTATCTTTCTGTTTCCTAGTAGCTCACTTTCTTTTAGTGCTGAATAATATTCCATTGTCTAGATGGAGCACAGTTTATGTGTCCCCACTTGCTAAGGACATCTTGCTAGCTTTCAAGTTTTAGCAATTATGCATAAAGCTTCTATAAACATTCAAATGAAGGGTGGTGCATGGTGCTTCACTGTCTTTATTAACGTCAAAAAATATGGCACTTGACTTCTGAGCTGGCGCTGGAGGTCCTGTGAGGAGAGATGCAGGGAAGGATCTATCCTATCTGTTGAATAACTATGGAAGAATATCCCAAAATAGAGAAAACTGGAGAAAGTACTCAAGGAGTTGTAGATAAGGGTAGACACAAAACTACAGGTCAAGTGGTAGCCATGAAGAAAATCAGACTAGAAAGTAAAGAGGAAGGGGTTTCTAGCACTGCAATTCAGGAAATTTCTCTATTAGTTCTTTATAGATTGTAGAGAGCAGACCTTTGTCTGAGTATTTATTTGTCATGATTTTTTCCAAATTTGTGGGTTGCCTTTTCACTTTGTTGGTAATTTCTTTTGACG